TTCTTTTTTGCTTATGTGGTGCTGAGGAATCGAACCCAGGGCCTCAGGCATGCAAGGCAAGTGCTCTACCACTGAGCCACCTTCCCAGCCCCTCTACTTTTTTTTTTACAGGTCCTTGGGTTTGATCTCAGGGCCTGGGCGCTGTCCCGAGACTCTTTGTGCTCAAGGCTCGAGCTCTACCACTTAAGCCACTTCCTGATTTTTCTGAGTAGTTTATTGGAGATAAGAGTATCACAGATTTTCCTGCCCAGGCTGGCTTCAAATCTCCATCCTCAGATCTCACCCTCCTGAGTAGCTAGGATAAACCAGTACCAGCCTTTTTTTTTTTTTAAGTAGTCAATTGGAGATAAGAGTTTCATGGGAAGTGGTGCTGTAGCTCAAGTGGTAGAGCTCTCGCCTTGAGTTGAAGAGCTCAGGGACAGCGCCCAGGCCCAGAGTTCAAGCCCCATGATCAACAAAAAAGCAAAACAAAACAAAAAAACCCCAAGAGTTTCATGGACTTTTCCTGCCCAGGCTTCAAACCGGAAACTTCAAATCTCAGCTTCCCCAGTAGCTAAGATTATAGGTGTGAGCCACTAGCATCCAGTGGGAGTGATTCTTAAATCACAGTTCCTTTCTTATTGCTGAATCCCTTGCCCTAGTTCTATGCAACCCTACCCATGCCCAGACCTCCTCTTATCAGCTCATCACTGACCCCTGGGTGCAGTTCTCATGACATGGCCGACATTCATTCTGAGCATCCGGGTACTTGTAGATGGGGCCCTTGGCACCTAGAACTCCATAGGGGCATCTGTTCACACAGTGGGGCCCATCTCGAAAATGAGCACACTGAGCACAAGCATCAGAGCCCTAAGTAAAAGAGAGAAGGTCAGGAAGAATGTGATCCTAATGGTAATGTCATTCAGTAAAGACCAACCCAGCCATTTAGGATCCTCTATACACAAACTCTAGCATTATCTGGCCTCCCTGGGCTGGGCTGGAGATTTGGTCATATCATTCCCTGAGTGCTCCAAGTATGGCCCTCTCTGTCTGCATTAGAGATCTCAGGGAGTGTGACTGTACCGAGCCATTGCATGTAGTAGTGCCCTCCATGGGTTGGCATTCCGGGTGACAGGAGAAGCATTCACCCTCATGGGCAAACTCACGAGGCTCCCTGCAGTGGAAGAGATGAGAAGGTTGTAATTTCCAAGCCCTGACCTTTACGCCCCTATCCTGCCATGCGGACCCCTACTCCATTCCTGCGCCATGGCAGATTCAGAAAGCTGCTGACAGACTGTCAGGGGCCACCTGAACAGCTCCACCCCAGGCTCCACTCTCAGTGTGTGTGTGTGTGTGTGTGTGTGTTGAAGTGAAGATAGACTTCTGTGCTTGGGCTGGCTTTGAACATGATCCTCAGATCTCAGCCTCCTGAGAGGCTAGCATTACAGGTGTGAGCCATTGGCATTGGGCCCTACTCCTTCTTGATGGTCTCCCCTCATGTTACCCATTCAGAAAGTTGCAGTGGGTCACACAGACACCCTCTCGGCTGTAGTTTCGACAGGATAAGCACTGAGCAGGACCTGGGCCCCAGCATCCTCCAGAGGAGCACAGAGGATCACATACTTTGCCCTCTGCCACTGGAGAGAGAGAGAAAAAAAAAGGCTGGATCAGGAGAGGAATCTGAGGTCTCCAGCAAGTCCCTTTCGTCATGACCACTTCTAGTCTCATACCTCCCTTCCTCCCTTCCTCCCAGGTTGATGGCACCCCACACCCCCAGCAGGCCCTCCTCTCACCGCATTCTCTGCGGGGTCGATTATGTTTGATGTCTAGTCTCTCTTCCGAAGGCCCTCGAAGCAGCCTGGTCCAGTTCAGAGAGTGGTGGTAGCAGAGCTGCCGGTTTGCACTTATGTAGATACGCCCAGCACTAATTTCCTTCAGGGATCGGAGGCCCAGAGATGTGACATTCAAGTTCTTCATGATCAACAAGGAGAAGCCCCGGCTGAGAATAAAGGAAACCCGGTGAGAAGGAGAGACTACAAAGGGAAAATTAAACACGCAGGGGATTCATTGCTCTGAGCTTATCAGAATGACGGGGAGGGGAATCCCTCACTAAGAGAATTCCCATCCTCTTGCCTTCTCCCCAGCAAATTGGTGGAGTTAAGAGTCTGCTGTGTGACACAAAGCCTTGTACTGCACGAAAAGCTGCCTTCTTCTCTGTCTGGAGATGCCAGCCCTCCCCGTACTCACTTGTACAGGCTTCTGCCTCCAATAGTTGTCAGGTTGGAAAAAACACTGAAGTTGTGCATATGAGGAGGCCAGGACTGGATGTTCAAGTAACCTGAAGAGTTGGAAAGGCGTATGAGCATAGAACATTCTCCCCTTTTGTCTTTGTCAGGTTCTTCAGGCTCTTCCCTTGTTTCTTGGGACATGACTTTCTCAAGCAGTTGAACAGTTCATGTCAGTGGTTTATTTATTCCTCCCCAAAAGGGGAGCCTCTTACCTGTGATCTCCCGTACTGTCCGGAAGACATTGAGTTTCTCAGGGTCCAGTGCAGGAATTTTGTGCCATGGATCTCTGGAGAGAATATTATAACTTAATCAATAACCTAGAAAGGTAGGCCTGGAGGCATAGTTCAAAGGTAGAGCCCTCGCCTAGAATGTCCAAGGCCCTGAGTTCAATCTCTAGTACAATCATCAAAAGAAGAAGAAGGGATGCCGGGTGCTAGTGGCTCACGCCTGTAATCCTAGCTACTCAGGAGGCTGAGATCTGAGGATCGCGGTTCAAAGCCAGCCAGGGCAGGAAAGACCGTGAGACTCCTATCTCCAATAAACCACTAGAAAATCGGAAGTGGCGCTGTGGCTCAAGTGGTAGAGCGCTAGCCTTGAGCTGAAGAGCTGAGGGACAGCACCCAGGCCCAGAGTTCAAGCCCTATGACTGGCAAAAAAAAAAAAAAGTTAGCTTATTGTGTGTGTGTGTGTGTGTGTGTGTGTGTGTGTGTGTGTGTGTGCAGGCTGGGAATTAAACCCAGGGACATGTCCATGCTAGGCAAATTACATCCTCAGCCTTACTGAATTTGATTTCTAAATGTCATTCTCTGCTCAAAATAAACAGAGATCCTTAGAGAAATAACCTGAGCAGGGATAAACAAAAGTAAGTTTGGAGCATCTTGTGCCAAATAGTAAGGAAGTACTCAAAGAATAAGGGAAGAGAACACACTCAAAGAACATGGAAACCAGTGTGAAGGACTTCCAATGGCCAAATTAGACACACCTAAAAACTAAAAGGAATGATTGAAAAGGACCATAGACCATTGAATAAAGGTAAGTATTCACACAGATAAAATAAATCAGAGGAAGTGGAGTTGTGGTTCGAAATGGTAGAGTAGTAGCTTTGAGCAAAAATGCTCAGAGATAGTACCCAAGCCCTGAGTTCAAGTCCATGACTAACTAAATAAATAAAAAATTAGAGCTGACATTTAGGGCAGTGGCAGAGTACTGCCCCCAGCATGCAAAAAGCCCTGGATTTGATCATTAACACCCAATAAATAATAAAATAGGTAAGAAGTAGACTTTTTTTTTTTAATCAGTCGTGGGGCCTGAACTCTGGGCCCGGGTGCTGTCCCTCAGCTCTTCAGCTCAAGCCAGCACCCTACCACTTGAGCCACAGCACCAGTTCCAACTTTTTTCTGCTTATGTGGCGCTAAGGAATCGAACCCAGGGTCTCATGTATGCAAGGCAAGCGCTCTACCACTGAGCCAGGAGAGACTCTTTCTAACACCGGAATGCCAACAAGTAAATGCAGAAGGAAAAAATAGAAGTAGATAATTACCATTTGGCAACTATCATCATAATAACTAACTCAAGCAAGCACATGATTGCAAAGGGGAAAAACGAACCTTTCAGTAGGAAAAACTTAGAAGATACCAACTAACAAATAACCAGAGACCCCATGGTCAGTGATGGGGGGAAAAAATGATACCATCCTTGATACAATGCACTAAGAATATCACATCTGTAATCCTAGACTTCAGAAGGCAGGATAATTTGAGGATAGCCTGGGCTACATTGTGAGACCTAATTTTGTTTAGAGAAAAAAAAATTGTTCTTAGGGCTACCAATGTAGCTCAGTGGTAGAGTATGCCAGTGTGAGGCAATGAATTTAATCCCTAGCACCCATATCACCACCACCACCATCAAACAAAGTTCTTGTTAAGGAATATGTACAAAAAATACAAGGGTAGGAGGTGTACCTTATCTGGAGATTTATCTACCCTCCAGTGGTTTAGAAACATAATAGGTCTTTTTTCTTTTTCCTGGCCTATACTGGGGCTTTAACTAAGAGCCTGGAAACTGTTGCTTAGCTTTTTCACTCAAGGTGAGCATTCTACCGCTTGAGCTTTACTCCTGCACTTTTGTGGCTTTTTGGTGCTTAATTGGACATAAGAGTCTCACGAACTTTCCTACCTGGAAAGAAAGCTAGCCTCCAACCAAAATCCTCAGATCTCAACATCTTGAGTAGTTAGGATTACAGGTATGAGCCACCAGTGTCCGGCACAATAGTCCTTTGCAACGCATAAGACTTTATGACTTAGATTTCTAGTCAGTTTCCCTATAGGGATGATTGAGGTCAATGAAATGAATGGTGTGAGTGGAGGAGATGAGTGCTGGAGAAGGAGAGGGAAGGTAGAGCTCTAACCCATTGAGACCGGTGATAAGGAAGTCCAGGTTGCCCAGGATCTTGGTGCAGTTCACAAACCCATCAATGTTGCTTGAGTCCACAGTCTGATGGCGACTCCCAAAGCCAGTTCCCTCACAGGCTGTAAACACAGAAGAGTCATTGGGCATGGCTCTTGAGCAGCCTCAAGGGAAAGAATACCTTTTCGTAACTTCTTACCCTTTCCTGCTCACCTTTAGGGCACAGCCCTCCACAAGGCTCACAGATCTTGAGCCCGTTTTTCTCTACTTCCATCTTGTCAGGAGGACAGGCCCTGACACAGGACGTCTGATCCACGACAAAGTTATCTATGGGAGAAGACAGTGCAATTAGAGACCAAGAAATCTGTCAACGACCGCTGGATGTTCCTCTGGGTCTTTGTTCCCCTTCCCCTTAGCACTAAAATTCCCCAATTGTCAGGTAACTTGATCTGTCCCCCAACCCCATTTCTTTGTGCCAGTACTGAGGCTTTAACTCTGGGCCTCAGGCTCTCATTTGGCTTTTTCCTCCTCAAGGATGGTAACTGTACTTGAGCCACAGCTCCACTTCCAGCTTTTTGCTGAATAATTGAAGTCCATGGACTCTTCTGTCTAGACTGGGTTTGAACTGGGATCTTCTGATCTTAATCTCCTGAGTAGCTCGGATTATAAGCATAAGCCCAGCTTGATCTCTTTTGCCTCTAAAATTTTGTTTTAGAAATCTTGGTTCTTCACGGTTGTTCCTTCGCATGACACTTACGGGGGCAGCTGGCTACGCAGACTCCTCCATACTGATACTTTGTGTGGGGATTGGGTTCCAACTGGAAAGTTAGCTTGTTGTACACGAGAGGCTGTGGGCACCGGGGCACACAAGCACCACTGTCATTGAAGTGTCGGCAGGCCTGGGAACACAGAGACTCCTTAAATTCATGTTACACATGTACCCTGACCACTTCCCCACGGCCCACACTCCCACTTCAGAGCCCAGGCAGATGGTAGGAGTACGTACAAAGCAGTCTGTGTCCTGGGGGCCAGAACAGCCCCCTGCACATTCATCATGGCAGCACTGGTTTGGGTTGGGCCCGAAGCAGTGGCCATTACATTGCGGGGCACAGATGGTCTTCGTCACTACAGAAGGGGACAGAGCATGACCCTTTAGGGCTCTTGTGATTGAATTCTGAGACAATTCCCATCCACTACTCTGGCAGCTTGGGTAGGCAGGGCTATGAAAGTGTATGAATTTGAAGGTTTTAGAAGGAAATTCAAACCTACATGTCTGGCAGTTGTCTGGTCCAGGACCCCAGCATCGCCCTTTGCAGGTCTCATGACAGGAGGGACCTGGTTGGGAAAGAAGGCAATACAGAGGGTCATCAGGACTGAGAAAAGCTGGCTTCAACCAATAGGGTATGATGTCAGCACACAGGCACCTCAATCCTAGGAAGTAAGAGCCAAGGCCCTGTCCCTCCCTACCCCTGGAGAGCCAGGGCTGGGCCAAGTAAACCTGTCATCAGAGGGTGGAGCCACACCCCCATACCACCCACTGGGCAGCTGAAGGGGAGGGACTGGGCAAATGCCAACCTCAGCCTCAGCCCTAATTCAGAAACTTGGTTTCTCCTGGGCAAAGTAAACTCAGCAGAATATGTGTCCATGAGTGGCCAGAGCACTGTCCAGACTATGATCAGAAAGAGGTGCCCAAGAGATTTGTCTCCCTCCCTCCCTTCCTCTCTCCCTTTCTTCCTTCCTTCCTTCTTTCCTCCCTTCCTTTCTTCTTCCCTTTCTTCCTTTCTTCCTTCCCTCCCTCCCTCCCTCCCTCCCTTCCTTCCTTCCTTCCTCCTTCCTTTCTTCTTTCTCTTTCTTCCTTTCCCTTTCTCTCTTTCTTTCTCCCTTCCTTCCTTCCTTTCTTTCTTTCTTTCTTCCTGTCAAGTCTCCTGGGCACTGTCCCTGAGCTTTTTGCTCAAGGCTAGCACTCTTTCAGCCACAGTGCCACTTCCCAGATTTCTGGTGGTAAATGGGAGAGATAAGAGTCTCCATGGACTTTCCTGCCTGGGCTGGCTTTGAACTGTGATCCTCCGTCTCAGCCTCCTAAATAGCTAGGATTATAGGCATGAGCCATTGGTGCTATGCATGTCTTCTGTGGTTTGAACTCCAGGAGACTCCCTTCTGGCAGGCCCTTGTCTGGAGAGGCTTGAGGTGATTATTGAGTGGAGAGGAGGATATAATAGAGTTGGGAAAGCAGTGGCTCTGGCTTGGTGGAACACGGGGAGCAGTCTGGATGACAGCTACTCACAGTTTCTGCCATTGTCCTTCACTACTATCTCAGCATCTGGATCTCTCACAATATCCCTCCAGTCGATTGTATCCATGTGACACAGCTTGTCATTCTTCTCAATATAAACACCCCCTGACAGAATCTCTGAGGTAGGGAGGGAAGAAAAGTGATAGGTTAAAGGCTATAACACAACTCCTCTCTCCCATCTCCCCACCAGTCCAAAAGGACCTGGGAGACCCAGGAGTAGAGGAGGGGTGGGCAGGGAGGGCAAGTGTCCAATTAGATCAACACTGCAGGAAAGGCTGGCTTTCTTAGAGGAGGAGTCAGATGAGAGCAACCTCCTCAGATACCTGTCCAAATCCGGTTTAGCCAGTGGGGGAGGGGAAGGGAAAAAGGCTAGGACATCCTGACTCAAGGCTTTCCCCCCAAGTCTGAGTGTTTTCCAAGTGACAGGGCAGAGAGAATAAATAGAAGGTGCTCAGATGTATTTAACCCCTAGATTCCTCCAGCTGGTGTGAGCTTGGGAGGCAGTAAAAGTAGGATTCCAGGGAAGGTGGGACTTTAAGGTACACTGTACTTTGTGTGTGTGTGTGTGTGTGTGTCTGTGTGTCTGTGTGTGTGCTGGTTCTGGGTTAGAACTCAGGGCTTGGGAACTGTCCGAGAGCTTTTTTTGCTCAAGGCTTGCACTTTATTACTTAAGCCACAGCTCTGCTTCTGGCTTTTTGGATGATTAATTGGAGATAAGAGTTTCATGCAGGGCTGGGAAGGTGGTTCAGTGGTAGAGTGTTTGCCTTGCATGCACGAGGCCCTGGGTTCGATTCCTCAGCACCACATAAGCAGAAAAAGCTGGAAGTAGCACTGTGGTTTAAGTGGTAGAGAATTAGCCTTGAACTGAAGAGCTGAGGGAGAGTGTCCAGGCCCAGAGTTCAGGACTGTTCAAAAAAAAAAGCCAGGCGCCGGTGGCTCACGCCTGTAATTCTAGCTACTCAGGAGGTTGAGATCTGAGGATCACGGTTCAAAGCCAGCCCAGGCAGGAAAGTCCATGAAACTCTTATTTCCAATAGACCACCAGAAAACCGAAGTGGCGCTGTGGCTCAAGTGGTAGAGCGCTCACCCTGAGCTGAAGAGCTGAGGGACAGTGTCCAAACCCAGAGTTCAAGCCCCACAACTCACACACACACACACACACACACACACACACACACACACACACAAAGAGTTTCATAGACTTTGCTGCCGGGACTGGCTTCAAATTGCAATCCTCACATCTCAGCCTCTTGAGTAGCTAGGATTACAGGCATGAGCAACCAGCACTTGGCTTGACCATACTGTGTGTGTGTGTGTGTGTGTGCGCCCACGCACACGCGTGTGCATGTGCATGAGTGTGCATGCCAGTCCTGGGGCTTGAACTCAGGGCCTGGGCACTGTCCCTAAGCTTCTTTCTGCTCCAAGGCTAGCACTCTACCACTTGAGCCACAGAGCCGCTTTTTCTGTTTATATGGTACTGAGGAATCAAACCCAGGGCTTCATGCATGCTAGGCAAGCACTCTACCACTAAGCCACATTCCCAGCCCCCTTAGCCTTTCGCTCAAGGGTAGCATTTTATCATTAGAGGATGGCTCCACTTGTGGCTTTTTGGGTGGTTAATTGGAGATAAGAGTCTCATGAACTTTCCTGCTCAGGCTGATTTTGAATCACAGTCCTCAGCCTCCCGAGTAGCTAGGATTACTGGCATGAGCCATCAATGCCTGGCTACACTGTACTTGAGGTAACAGATGTACCTTCAAGTCCAGCCCCATCATGATGTAAGGACGATCCCTCTGGGTGCAGATAATTCCAGCTTTCTACTAGGGCCCTCTTGTTTAAGAAGTGGTAGGACTTTAGTCCACAGTGGCCAAAGAAAGGTACCCTGGGAAGGGCACTTAAAATGAGTAGCCTCAGGTCATCACCCTGCAGGGTGGCTCAAGGCAGGGTCAGAAGGAATTGCCAGGAACTGACCAGTAAGCTGAGTAAAGCGGAGTTGGCGCAGAGCGTGGCTGGAGTTGGTGTTGTAGTTCAACATGACGAAGATGGCAAACTTCCCTTCGTAGACCTGGGTCCCCCGCACCACTCGGAGGTTGGGCAATGGTAGTACAGAGAATTCATTCATGGCTACCAGAACATAGCCTGTCACTTCTCGGATCCACTGTGATGGAATACGGCATGTTAGTGACAGGGACAATGAACTAAAGTCTCAGTCCTTTCTCTGTAAGGCACAAAGGAATTTTTACCTCCTTCCCCCTCCCCACTTTTTTCTTCTTCTTTGCAGTGCTGAGGATCAAACCCAGGGTCTAGCACATGTTAGTCAATTACTCTACCACTCAGCCATAGTCCTGTTCCCTCCACTCCTCTTAACTCATTGCCAATCCTTAACTCATTTCCCAGGCTGGCTTCCCACTCATTGATTCAAGCAATCATCATACCTCAGCTTCTCAAATGGCTGGACTTACAGCTGTGCACCACTGTGCCCAGCCTCTGTGAATTCTTTCTAATTCCTATTTTGGAGTAGGGAGGTGGCTATGTCACACTACTGTGACATTTCCATGAATGGAGACTGGCACCAGAAATAATTAAGGGATCTGTATATTCTACTCTTTTCTTCTCAGAATTCCTTATGTCTCAAGGGTCCTGTTAGTCCCTTCCTCATTGTCTCGAGTGACTGTTTGCATTAGTCTCTGCTTGCACTGCATCACCATAGAATACTGCCTGCCCCTATATGTCCCTGACTACAGGTCTGTAGCCCCAGGTCTGTCCCAGATTCCAGTGACTTACGGAGTCACTGTCTCCCTGAGTTGGGAATTTAGGAACTACTGAGTCTTAGGAATTCTGGACCCAGCAGAGGGTGTTCTCCCAATATGAGAATCGGTGGGGACCAGGCATGCTGACCTGCAGGAAGGAGAGGTCGGCATTATGGCCTGTGAGCACAATCTCGAGGTTGCCCATCACCACTTCACATCTCTCATAGCGCGAGTGCAGCGTCTGGTATTGGTTCTCCGCATCGCCGGTCACACTCAGCCCGTTCAGAGTCCCGGGACACACTGTTCAACCCAGAACAAAGAGTAAGTAGCAGGGAGCTGGACACAAGTTTCCAGCACCTCCATCTCCCATCCTCCTTGTTGCCCTCTTCCAATAATAGTCCAAGGATCTGAAGCTGCCTCCAACCTTGCCTGCTGGGCCCAGGCAAGCCCATCATGGCTGCGAGCTCCTTCCCTTCTCGCGATTCCCTCATCTGGGGAAAGGGAAGGTTGGAAAAAGAGATGTCCCTTTTCTACCAGGGCTCCTCCTTTGGGGAGTGCAGGGTTAATCTAGAAGGAAGATATAGAGGACTTGTTCCCTTCCTGACACAGAAATTAAGCAAGGACTAAACGTTGATTACCCCCTCCCAACCCCCTACTAGGGCACTTACTTTTCAGCCCCCATCCTGCCTCTTTCTAGGCCCTGGAATAAACATCTCTTTGGGGCTAGCACACAGCCCCTATTGTGTCTCCAAGAGGGTGGTTTGGGGGCAGAGGGTGGGGGCAGTGCCTGGGGCCACAGTTCAGTCCACAATGAAGCGATTCTATCCTGGAGGAGGGGGCTGCCCCACCCTGTCCCAGACACCCCAGTCCTCACCAACAGCACCCCCCCTCCACCCTCCAGCCTTGGGCTCAGACAAGTGACCTCACTGGAGTGGGGAGCCCTGTAAAGGGGGTCAAAGAGAGCTTTGTGTTTAAAGTTGGAAGATAAGGAGCTGGCCACCTCCCCGTTCCTAAACTCTGGCTTCCCTTCTTATTTTATTTTCTTCCCCAGTTCCAACATATCCCAGCTCCCTGGGCATGGCTGTCTAACCCAGAAGATGTTTGGTTGTTCTTTCTTGTTTTGTTGTGAGCAAATAGAGAAATCTGCAAGGGGAAGAAAGAGCAACATCCTCCACACCTAAGCCTTCCTTCCAATTTTTTGTTTTTTGTTTTTGTTTTTTGTTGTTGGTCATGGGGCCTGAACTCTGGGCCTGGGCACTGTCCCCAAGCTCTTCAGCTCAAGGCTAGCACTCTACCACTTGAGCCACAGCGCCACTTCTGGCTTTCTGTTTATGTGGTGCGGAGGAATCGAACCCAGGACCTCAGGCATGCAAGGCAAGCACTCTACCACTGAGCCACCTTCCCAGCCTGCCTGCTTTCTTTCTTTCTTTCTTTCTTTCTTTCTTTCTTTCTTTCTTTCTTTCTTTCTTTCTTTCTTCTTTCTTCCTTTTTTGGGTCAGTCTTGGGACTTGAACTCTGGGCCTGGGCACTGTCCTTCAGCTCATCAGCTCAAGGTGAGAGCTCTACCCCTTGAATCACAGCACCACTTCCAGTTTTCTAGTGGTTAATTGGAGATAAGAGTCTCACCAATTTTCCTGCCCAGGCTGGCTTTGAACCCTGATCCTCAGTCTCAGCCTCCTGAGTAGCTAGGATTACAGGCGTGAGCCACCAGCACCCAGCCTTCCTTCCAATTTCATTGTCAGAGAAATGCATTAAAAAGTCTTCTGAAGGCCAGGCATCAGTGGTTCAAGTCTGTAATCCTAGCTTACTCAGGAGGCTGAGATCTGAGGATAGAGGTTCTAAGCCAGCACTGGTAGGAAAGGCCCTGAAACTCTTACCTACAATTAATTGAGCAAAAGAGCTCAGGGGGGCTGGGAAGATGGCTCAGTGGTAGAGCGCTTGCCTTGCATGCCTGAGGCCCTGGGTTCAATTCCTCAGCACCACATAAGCAAAAAAGAAAATAGCTGGAGGTGGCACTGTGGCTCAAGTGGTAGAGCGCTGGCCTTGAGCTGAAGAGCTGAGGGACAGCGCCCAGGCCCAGAGTTCAGGCCCCATGACTGGAACCAAAAAAAATAAAAATAAAAAAAGAGTTCAGGGATATAGCACCCAAGCCCTAAGTTTAAGCCCCAAGACTAGCACCCACTCCCCCCCTCTCCAAAAAAAAGAATTCTGAAGCAGGCACTGGTGGCTCCTATCTGTAATCTCAGCTACTCAAGAGGCTGAGATCTATGGGAATGTGGCTTAGTGGTAGAGTGCTTGCCTAGCATGCATGAAGCCCTGAGTTCAATTCCTCAGTACCACATAAACAGAAAAAGCTGGAAGTGGTACTGTGACTCAAGTGGTAGAGTGCTAGCCTTGAGCAAAAAGAAGCTCAGAGACAGTGCTTATGGCCTGAATTCAAACCCCAGGCACGCCGGGCGCTGGTGGCTCACGCCTGTAATCCTAGCTACTCAGGAGGCTGAGATCTGAGGATCGCAGTTCAAAGCCAGCCCGGGCAGGAGAGACCGTG